TAAGCCAATCAACACTCATTTTGCATAAATGTTCAATGTGTAATAGAGAATATATTTTCTAACCAGGGTGTGCAGGATTTAATATTTTTTCCTTACATTGGTCTCATTAAATGCATTATTCAAATGTTATGTATCTTTACTAACTTGCTGTCTGTTGATCAATTACTTACGAAGGAACTATGGTTAAAAATTCCACCACAATGGTACATTTGTGAATTTCTCATTTTAATATGGTAATTTTTCTCGCTGAAGGAATATTTTTTATACATCCATATTTATGTCTCATGAAGAAAAGCTAGCCTCTGAGATAGAAACGGACATGATGACACAGATGAGGGACCAGCAGCGTGGCTGGAACGGGAGACGGCTGGGTGAGCTGTGCACACTGGGGCCAGGGAGGTGGGCAGAGGAGACCAGCAGGGCCTTGTGGGGTGATTGCCCTGGGTGGACAGGGAAGATGGACAGGAGCACAGACCAATGAGAATGAGGGCTGAGGGAGGACCTTAGAGAGAGACAGCGGGATCTAGGTGGATCTGATTTACCAAAGATTTTCCATCCTGGAGGCGTCAGACTCAGGCTAATGACTAGAAAAGCCAGAGCTGGGGAAGCCCCTTCCCTGCTAACCGGCAGCTGCAGAGGACAAACAGGCAGCATCGGTGGAGACGTGGCTACCCGAGGCCCTGGAACCAGTGCAGGCCAGGCAGACACTGCCCTGAAGATGGACCTTGGCACACACCGAGGTTCACCCTGTATGCACAGGCCACTCAGGACTCCAAGGCTCCCAGGGTGGGAGTTGAGGCTGCACAGGCTCTGCTGAGTCTGGGGTGCGGAGTCTCCCCCTGCCTTTTTGTGCAGAGAGGAGGCGGCCGTGCAGCGCTGTGGAGTCACTGCTGGCACAGAAGTACACAGATGTCTGGGAGGGGGTAGCTGACTCCAGCGTGAGGGGGAAGTTCTCTGTGTTTGATCTGGAGACACTGTACCCATCGGGGACATCTCCTTTGTTGATACTAGTACTGACTGAGTAATAGATCAGCCTCAGCCCATGGCCCGGGTCCTGTCGATACCAGTACATGCAGTTATGGTCCATATCCTGGACACATGTCAGTGTCACTTTCTGTCTTGTTTTCAGGATCCGGAATTTTGGGGTCTGAGTGACACCAGCATTCACCAAACCTGTGAAGAAGGAGAAGAAGCTGATCCTGCAGCCACCACGGAAAGGCTTAGTGCTGGGACCTGGACATTCTCATAGAAGGGCCCCTGCCCAGGTCTCACCTACCTGCCTGCAGGAGACAAAAGGCCACACAGCACAGGAGGTCAGCACTCATGGCAGGGCAGGGCAGACACGGGTTGTCTGGGTCTGTGTGTTGATGAAAGGGGGATGTGGCTCTCCAGGGAGCAACCCTGTGATGTCACTCTCACTGCCTGGACCCCAGAGCCAGCCTGTCACAAGGGACCACGCCCCTTCCCCCAGAAGGCCAAATCAAAAATGTACAAACGAGCAGCTCAGAATGGGAAGAACGCTTTTGTCTGACGTGACACAAGTCTTACAGGCCGTCCTTAACCTTTTTGTAAAGAATGTGTGACTTTAGGTATATTTGATTCCTGTGATAGAAACCTTCATTAGGATTCTGGTTTTGTGTATCTACATATTTCTGTACTTCTGAATCTTAGGGGAAATCCTGATGGCTTTCTGGTGCCTTGTATGACTCATGGGTCCCAAACAGCCCTTCAAGGATCCTTTTCTACTTTGCTCAGTGGTCGCCACTGTATGAACATCCCCCCATCCACAATGCTCCCCTGCTCTCTGGTTGCCACACCTCAGGGGCAGCAGGCTCGTCACCACATGAGGGGTCATTCTGCTCTGCTTCTTGTCAATTCACGAACAGGTGGGACACCTGCCCAACGTAGCCAGAGCACCTTTGTATGCCCCCGGTCACTGGCTTCCCGTGCTTGGAGTAAGACAGCAGCAAGCAGCTTGCCTCACGCCGGTGCCTGACCTTTCTCTGTGGCAAGAGGACTACTGCTCAGCGCTGCAGGAGGCCTGCTGGCACTGAGGATGACAGAGGGACTTGAGAAGGGGCTGAGTCCAGGGTGAGTGAAAAATGTTCTTTTTTTGGAGACATCTATTCCATGGGGGAATGTCTCCTTGGGAAGAATCACTGACATTAATTGAATAATCAACAGAATGGTGCTTGGGAAACCTGTATCTAATCTGCACACAATCCCACGCTTAGAGACCCCATACTTGCTTCAGTGCTCTGCTGTCATGATGCTCACATTCTTAATGTTGGGACCATAGACCCTGCAAATTATGTAGCCGGTCTCAAGAATATGATTTCCTGTTTCACATCTGTGGTCCCCTCCCGATGGACTGGTTCCCCTTTAGCACAGCCTTGTGTCTCGGGGATGGGTGACTTGGCATCGCTGGGCCTGGGAGAGAAGGATACAGAATCTAAAGTCAGAACCAGAGGAGGAGCCTGATGTGGGAACCACAGTAACACACCTTGAGCTGGGACCTGACCAGCCCACAAGTGGGTTCCACGTCTGTGCCCAGGACTTCTCTGGTCCAGGAGACCAGAGGACACACAGCACAGGACACCGGTGCCCAGGCAAGGCCACAACAGAAGGGGGATTTTCCACCTAAAGACTGTGTTTTGTGGGTTGGACACTTGGGGTCAAGGTGAAGGGAACTCTTTTCCGGATGTAAAGTGATCTCTCAGTGAAGTCGCTGTTCCTGGAGGTCTGCTCAGCCCCAGCACACAGTGTATCAACATGAAGCCAGGCTATGTGTGCATCTGATGGGAACTCAGAATAATTTCCTCAGAGAGGAGAAATGGTTATCAAAATATAATTATAAAATAATTTGAGAGAATGAGAAAAGATATGAGTGAAAATGAGTAAATAAATTTTATGCAAACAGCTTCTACAACCTGCAAAGGCCTTTTGATGGTCATGTTCACAAACCATCTGTCTCCAGATAGACTTTTTCCTGACATGATCTTGCCTGGTTTCAAGTAGTTTTATAACCATANCACAATCTCTGATAAGTGGATTTGGAGGGACTGTCACTCCCCTTTCCAGCTGTGCAAGGCTCAGGGCAGCTCTATCATGGCTGCGTCTGTGACATCCAATCCCAGTTTTGGAGCATCCGGTTATCTCTTAGGACTCCTGGAAACCATAATCCATAATCCATAATCCCAACCCCGGTGCCCAGGGCTTTAGATATAATACGAACTGCGGCTGCACCCAGAGACAGGTAAAAGATGTTACTTCTAATATAATTGTTTATAACAAATAGAACAAACAATATAGCAGACAAACAAAAAGGAATAGGTGCATTATTACCAAGAAAATACCCCATCTTCTTGAGTTAAAGAATTCAGGGGAATTCTTTCAAATCCAAAGGCCAGGGCACCAAATAAAACAGTCTCTAGAAGTCAGATTTACTCATGGAATCAAGATGAAACTGGAGAAGCTGTGCAACTAGGCTTGAGTCTAACCCTCAGGATGGAGCAGTGGGAAAATGAAAACAAAACAAAGAAAAGGGGTTGCTTCAACTAGACAGAGGAAATGAAGTCTTGCTATCAGTATTGCGTTTATCAGTTAATAGACACAAAGGCAGTGAAGACATTACTTCAAACAGGAAGACAGGCTTGATAACATACTGCAGAAAGCTTCCAGTGGGACAGGGCTAGAGGAGACTGTACAGAAAGAATACGCCAGAGGAGGTCGTCACAAACTCTCCAGATGCCGACAACAAGGACAGAGGAGGAGGCGCTGCTCGTGACTCAGAACCAAAGCTGTGTGAGGGGGCAGTAGCCCTGGAGTCCCGCGGAGACTGTTCGTGTCCAGGATGCACAATCATGGCCTGGGAGCTCGGAGCTGACTCTGGGACTCCTAGAACCCAATGAGCCATAATTGTTTCCATCCACCAAAGATTACAGTCACAGTATTTCAGGAGTTAAGACGGCCTCTTTCTACCCAAGGACAGCTCATGTCCAAATCTACTTCTTTCCGCTGCGGAATGTAGAGCAATGAATGACCCATTTAGGGTCTCTAGGAGCCGCAAGGAGAGAGAAGTATGAGGTTTGTGAGCAGGAAGGAGGTGACAGTGCCACGCTGTGGCTAAGCTGCTGGCACAGAGATACACGGCCGAGTCCCTCTGCTCTGCATGCCGGATGTTCAGAGTGGAGGATGACCCCTCTGTCCCCTCTGTCCTCTCAGCAGAGAACCGATCATCAGGCATCCCTGATGTGTCCACGGCTTCCTTGTTTTGGAAGGCAATAAAAAACTCCAGGCCCTGCCCCAGGGTCTGTCGGTACCAGTAAAGGCCAACATGACCGGAAATTGGTTCACAGCTGAGAGATACATTCTGGCCCTTCTCTGTGACCCTGTGCCTGGGGGACTGGGAGACTTCAACATCTGTGTGACCTGTGAAGACAGAAGGTGGGAATAGAATGAGAAAAACAATTGTAATCATCATTTCTCTCTCTCTCTCTCTCTCTCTCTCACACACACACACACACAGAAACTGCTTGGTGTTCTGAGCACTCACCTGTCCCCAGGAGACAGAGGGTCACCCAGCAGAGGAGTCTGGTGCCCATGGCAGGGTCAGGACAGGAATGGGGGGTTCACAGATTAGGGGCTTTGTGAGCATGAGCAGAAGACGAGGGACGTCCCTTGTCTCCACAAGGCCGCTCCCACAGTGACATCATGTCCTCTATCAATCCCCTCAACCTCAGTGACACATGGTTTATATCACAGCACACTTGAATGACTAACGTAAATATTCATAAGCTCCTCTTTCAACAAAATCGATGCATGGGCTGTCACTTCCGGCTCCAGTGCTGTCCTGATGCAGGTCCCCCACTGCAATTCCAAGACCATCTTCTCATTCACGAATCACTCTTCTGTTTGCTGGGCAATTTCACCAAGACATGTCAACAGTGCTTCCAATACAAGTTACCAAAGGGTGCGGTCATGGTCTTGTCTGCACTCAGGGTCCCCTGTGAGCTTCCATTTCTGTCACCATCCACTCCATTCTCCCAGTCACACATGCTCAGCATGACCCATGTCTTAGGCAAGGGTGCACTTTGAGGGGCTGACTTGGCCTTGCCCTAGAAGGGAGTCAGCTGTCTTGGCTGCTTGCCCAAGAAACACCGCTGCGTCCCCATAACTGGGCAGACCATTCAAATTTACAGGATGACCTGTGTGATTGACTCGTTTTAACATTGTCAGAAGTGTCTGCTTTGTGATTTCGGCGCTCTCATGCCAGTGCTATTGCTTGTCACATTTCTGTGCTTGGGTGTTCCAGGGTCTGGCTGCCTCCGCCTCTGGTGCCTGTGGGTGAAGGAGATGAAGCTGAGGACAGTCCTGTAAGTCTGCTTGGGGAAGGACTGCAGTCGAAGCAAAGAGGATTCAGGAATAAAACATCTTCCCATGTTCCTGGAATCACGTGCTTCCAAGATGCGGCTGACCACTGCGTATAGAATGATGGAACGTGTGTGGCAGGGTCATTGGGCCTATAGTTTCGGGAGGTAGGTAGACAGATATCCACTATTGATTTGGTTACGTTAATATTTTACATATTCTCATTTTTCTAATTTAATGACAACTTTAATAGTTTTTTCTTACAGTTTGAGTTCTGTTCTATTTTTAGTTATCCCTTTTTAATTCCTGATGTTATTTACCACCTTTTTTTCTTCAT